CAGAAAATGTAATAAAAATTGGGGGGGGGGGGTGATTTCGGAGCCATTTTTTGGAAAAAACCATGGGCTATAGTACAGGGTATTTTTCAGAATTTTAGCGTTTTCTTAAAATGGCCATAACTTGAAAAATTAAAGTCGGAATCACTTCAAACTTTCTACACAGCATAAGGACATCAATATGTATCAGAAACTGTAATAAAAATTGGGGGTGATTTCGGAGCCATTTTTTGGAAAAAACCATGGGCTATAGTACAGGGTATTTTTCAGAATTTTGACATTTTCTTAAAATGGCTGTAACTTGAAAAATTAAAGTCGGAATCAGCTCAAACTTTCTACACAGCATAAGGACATCAATATGTATCAGAAAATGTAATAAAAATTTAGGGTGATTTCGGAGCCATTTTTTGAAAAAAACCATGGGCTATAGTACAGGGTATTTATCAGAATTTTGGCATTTTCTTAAAATGGCTGTAACTTTAAAAATTGAAGTTGGAATTACCTCAAACTTTCTACACAGCATAAGGACACCAATATGTATCAGAAAATTTATTAAAAATTTAGGGTGATTTTGAAGCCATTTTTTAGAAAAAACCATGGGCTATAGTACATGGTATTTATCAGAATTTTGGCATTTTCTTAAAATGGCCGTAACTTTAAAAATTGAAGTCGGAATTACCTCAAACTTTCTACACAGCATAAGGACACCAATATGTATCTGAATTACTTTATGTCATAGCTTGCAACTGATGCTGATCCAGAGGATATACTAATATCTCCTGTTAGCATTTTAAAAGTAGTCGTCTTCCCAGCTCCATTAACACCAAGGAGTCCAAAGCACTCTCCATTGTGAATAGCAATACTGATACCATCCACTGCTAGTTTTGTGTTAGCATTACTACCACAAGGAAATAACTGAGCAGACAAGCTTTTGTACTCCTGCAAAAATAAATAAATAAAATTCATAAAATAAAAATAATTATTGATTTAAACAACAGTATGTTCTTGTTTTACTTTGGTGAGGTTTGATATGATGACTGGATAGTCTTTAGTGTCACGTAACTCTGACACCAGTTCCCTCTCAGTGGCCACATCTCTGTCCCTCTCTCCTTCAAAATCCTACAATAGAAATATGATAATAATAATAATAATAATAATAATAACAATAATAATAATAATAATAATAATAATAATAATAATAATAATAATAATAATAATAATAATAATAATAATAATAATAATAATAATAATAACAACAATAATAATAATAATAATAACAATAATAATAATAATAATAATAACAATAATAATAATAATAATAATATCAATAATAATAATTCTTCTTACATCAGTGGTGATACAGCCAATTTCCTCATCATTCTTCCTCTTTTTAGAAATAAACAACTTAATCTCTTGCAAATAAAAATTTTTCTACAAAAACACCAAGACACAAAAATGAAAGTAAAGACGTTACATGCTTCTTGCATTACCTCCAGCAACAGTACAAGGACTGTAGCAATCACTGATTCTATTGCTAGTATAACCAGTATATGACCAACACCAGGTACCGCCAACTGGAATATATCATAAGCAACTCTAGCATTCACCTGATCACATATTCTATAAATAAAGCACTTAATGACATCACAATGTTACTATATATAGCATCAATGGCTATAAATAACTCACTCCCTTGCTTCGGGTGACGCTGTACAAGCAGACACCGTTGGCTCATTGTTATACATTAAAGATAAGCCACTGGCCAATCTACACAAAGAAAGGATTAGCATCTTTAACTGACTGCATTAACTGCAGCATTTTAGATACACTGGGCTACATGCAACACTAGCATTTAAATTTTTTTCTAATAATCAATGCACAGATTAGTTTTAATTTAATATGTTAAAGATCCTTTGCTAGATTCACTAATACTAGCAGTACAGTCAGTTTAAAGTTCCTTGCAGTTACTTACCCATAGACTGGGTGGAGAACAAACACGTAATGAATATTATCAGTGATGCTTGTATCAGTTTGTCCTGATATCACTAATATATAAATGATGGCATTCAATATCTAGCAATGAAAATGTTAGATAAAACACTTAATTTTATTATAATGTTACTGCTGCAGCTTACGACTGCTGGAAATGCAAAGAGGATGAACAAGATGGTGAATCCAACGAGAGAATTCGAGAAAATGAAACTAAAAACGTACGCTATAGAGTGACACGCCCAGGTACAGAAAATCTGAAAAATAATAAATAAAAAAGAATTATTTTTTTGACTTACGAATAATAAGGCAACAGCTCCAAGGTTGTTTCCGGTGAATCCTGGAGCTTGGATACTACTAAACAGTATCATTGTTACTAATAGAACAAAGAGAGTAGTGAGTCCGTCTTTAAGATAAGCTGCCATCCAGTAGGAGCGGCTGTGGATACCACCAACAAACTGCAAATGCTTTGACTAGATATATATTAAATAGGAAATAAATATTATTTAATTTGCTTTTTATTGCACTACAACCGATATGCAGTGTAGCCTCTATAGTAAGGATACCTTTATAATAAAGATATACTTTATACAGTAAAGGCAGCTAGCGAGAGGCTACACTGAAGTGTTGTATAATCTCTTACTCTTTCTTCTCTTTCCTTAGTCAGTAGTATTGTTAAACTAGCATAGAGGAAGCTAAATCCAAGTCCAATTGTGACGGCAATCGTAATACCATGGGTTTCAAAAGAGACTCGACTTAAAGAACTTAACTGTGACAAAAAATTTTTAATAATACAACACATGCAACTTCTATTATCAATTCTTACCTCAGTGGTGAGAGATGAAGTGAAGGGATGGTTAGTGACTGTGATGCTTAAATTTGAATTGAAACTTTTAAGGTAAAGATTATAAAATGAGTTTAGTACTACAGGAGCAGTATGATAGGCCTGGAAATAAGAAATAAATAAATAATAATTAGAAAAGCATGTACATGTACATGTACCTTGTGGTTATACCAAACGGTAGCCGTAGGAACAGAACTGACAACTGGTGATGTACGACCAAACTGACACTGTGAATCAACACATTGACACTGATACTGAGACAAATCACACGATGCTTGATCAATGCAAGCTGCTAACGTCCCAGAATAATCCTGATTCCAATCAGAAGGTGACGTCAAGAGGTGACAGTCTGGATCACTGTCGGTAAAAGCTGAACAGAAATCATTCACAAATGAATCAATTGAGTTAAAAGTGACGCTTGTTGGAACGTCATCAAGTGAAGATAGGAGAGCTGGCGTGAGGTAAGAACAGGTTTGACTTGTATTGCTACAGCCGCAAACAGCATATCCTGAGACTGGAGTGTTGTGGAGGACAAACCCACCCTGTAAATGGAGGTATTCAAGGGTCAAAGGAGTATCAATATGTGTTGCAAAATGTGCAGAAAGTTTGGACCAATTCCAATCAAAATTGGTTTTTAAATAATTTTTTAAAGTTGGTTAAAAAAATGGACTATAGTACAGGATATTTTGCCAAAAAATGAATAAGAGAGAATTCTCCATTTTTATCACATTACGCTCTGTGTTTACCTGAAATAAGGTCTCAAACAGACCAATATTAATTTCCTCTATGTACTGCAATATCTTCTCGGCAGTATAAGTATTAACGTCATCAAGAGGTCCAGCTGGATCTGTCACTGTTCTATCAGCTAACGAAAGAACAGGTGGAGCAGGACAGAACACAGCATCATTAGGATAGAGACTCTCAGCACTGGGGTCACTGCAGGACGGTATCTTGAAACCTCTAGCAGTGCAACAACTGAAGAAAATAAATAAATAAATAATAATGCACAAATAATATTTAAATGTAAGATTAGCAGACCTTAGGCAGTTCATGCAAAGCGAGTATCCAAAATCAGAGTTGGTGCATTCACTTAGCTCCTCCTATTAAAGGACAATATTTATTATTATCAACTCATGTTCTTACAGGTGTCCTGGTTGCACAGTACTTGTCTAATATCTGATATTTATAACTGCAACAATCACTGGCACTGCTGATATTAGCCACTGATGATCTAATGGACTCTATGTCACTCGTGAAGTCCAAGAAATCTGTTGCTTCAATAGCAGTTGCATTATCAGCCTAAGAGAAAAAACAGAATAATTATAAGCAAGACAATCAATTCTGATGACAAATTCTAAAATATTAAGTAGATGGACAAAGCATAGATACTGTGTGCAAAGTGGGACAGGAGAGATAAAAAAAGAGGGAGAGAGGGAAGAAAGCTCCAGTTCACATACGCCAAATTGAATAGGAAAGTTATTTCCAAATTTAGCCCAAAATAATGTAATGTTGCTGCTCTCTTCAGCTAGATCAGGAAACTTTAATGTTAGTTCTGTGACTGTAGTTGAGTCTGTAGTGTCAAATTTTATAATGAGCAATGTGAGGAGAACAAAAAATATTGGCAAGACAACAGCGAGAATGATACCCATCCAGAACCGAGTGAAGTAATAGAAGTGCTTTACAAGCATTGCGTAAAACTGCTGGAATATGAGAACACTGCCAGCATTGAAATCTACAAACGTACAATAAAAATATTGAAAAGTATTTTAGGTACTTTTAGAGTCTTTCATGGGTGCAGGTGACTTTTCATCAGCAGCTGCAGATTGTTCAGAATCTATGGCTTCAATAATTTCAGAAACATCGCTTGTCTGCTTTTCAAAATATTGTGTTCTCTTTCTCTGAATTCTAAAAGAGAAGAAGAGAGAGAGCTAAGCAGCAATGGCTAAAGGTTATACTTTTTTTGAATCTCTTCGTCTTCATCTTTACCAACTTGAATGAACACTTCCTCCATCGTTGTAACAGAAACACCATAACTACTAATACCAAGACTTCTCTTCCTATCTATACAATAATAGTAACTTTAACAACTCGTAAAAAATCCAAACTTAATCGGAATCAGTTCAAATTTACTACACAATATAAGAACATGTATGCATCAAATAATGTAATAAAAACTGAGAATTCTCTCTTTTTCATTTTTGATGAAAGTTGGTGTTGCAGATTTAAAATAATGATACAATAATAATAGCTAATCAATTACTTTCAAGTGTATTAATAAGTGCTGAGAATAGGATGGATTTCTCATCTGGCAGCAACAGTACAACTTCAGTTCCAATGTCATACAAAAACCTTGATCCCCCGACCATATCCTGTACTACTGCAATGATCTCTTCAGAATCAGTGCTAATGCTAGCCTTCTCTATAGTTAAATGATAGCCACACCCATAACTATAGAAGTAGAAGATTTAAAATTCAAATATTCGAAAATTCAAAATTTGATTTTTAAATTCAGTTGCATTCACTTGCTGACCGTTTCTTTAAGAAAAGAGATGATCCACTTGTTTTAACTCTCCCTGACTTCATAATGGCTATCCTATCCCCCAGTATGTCCGCCTCATCCCTAACAAAATAAAATATAATAATTAAAAGTACTCGAGATATTTTAAACAAAGCTGTAGCAGCTGCAGTAATTTGTAATCCTCTTAGTTTACATGAATTGTGTCGTAAGTAGAATAGTCCGTCCCTCCTTATGTTTGATAAGCAGATCCCAAGTGATCCTCCTTGCATAGGGGTCCATACCGCTAGTCGGCTCATCCAATATGACAAACTTAGAACCACCAATTAGAGAAATTGCAACACTGAGAGTGAGAGATCAATCCTTCCAGTA